GAGAAACATCTAGCAAAGAAGGGCACAAAGATGTCTGCTGCTGCAGGTGGGCAGAGCATGATTCTGGCACCCGCATTCCCGTGAACACCCACTTGGCACAAAGCAGCTCTGAGAGCACAGTCAATATCCACCCTGGAACAAAAGGATGAAAGGTGGTGGGGTCTACAGTCAACAGACATCTCTCCTGGTCATGCCAGTGACACCTTCAGGATCCCAGAGGTGCTCTGGAGTGCTTTTGTCTGCCCTCCTGCCCAGATGTCCAAAGTCAGGGCAGCCCCAGCCCTCTCCTGCCACAGCTGGGAAGCCGCTGGGGATGGTGACACCACACTGAGCTGTGACCCACCCCAAGGCTGCACCACTCTCTGAGGTAAGAGGCTGCCTTTTCAACAGCCATGCCACAGAGCTCAGACCAGGTAAAGGCACTGCCTTTATCCCAGTGCACTCACATCCCACAGGAGCTTCCAAAGCAGGCAGGATGCACGCTGATGTCACAGGGACCTTCCCTCATTTAGGCAACTCCAACACCAAGTCCAGTGGGGCCAGAAAGAAGCAGTTCCTCTACATGTACCCATCTCAGCTGTTAGACCAGCTTCTTCCTCATCACTTAAAGAAAACCCCTCTTCTTCCTGCCACACTTGGCATGGACAGACAGAAAAAGGCACTTCAGTTTGTCCTGATTACACCCCGAGACAGAATTCTCTCACCTGTCACTCCCTTGGCATCTATAACATTTGCAGCTGCTTTTGCCACAGCTGTGTTGACAATGTCACTGCCCACAGCGTTCATGCGGCGAGAGCTCAGAGCTCTCTTCTGCTTGCTGGTCCCGAACGCCTCAATGCACAAATCCATCTGCACGACATGGAAACACAAGTTAAGACACCCTGTGCACCCAGGAGAACACAAAACCCACTGCTTGTTCCACAGCCATGGTCTCTAAGAAAACTCTGAACTTTTCACATGGCAAAATGTGCAGGATGCACTGGTTTGGGAGGGCAGGAGGTCACTGGGATGGTGACCAGCCTAAAATAACCAGGAAAATACTCCTGAGCCAGGCAATGACTGTGCTGCCTCCTGGACACAGGGAGAGTGCTGTCCTGCACAGTTTACCCTGCAGACACCAAACCTCCCAGCCTCAAGAGACAAGCATCTGCCCCTGTCAGCTAGATAATCACAGCGGAGCATAACACAGCTTTCAACGTTACCTTCTCCCTGTAGGATTTGGTCTGATAATCCTTTGTGTCGTCAGGCAACAAGTTATCTATAAAACAACAAAAGTGAGGGTGCTTGGACGGGAATTCCTTCAGCTCTGTGACCTGGCACAGAGCATCAGGATCTCCTCCATGTGACTTGGCTAATTAAAGGACACACCAAATATGAGAATCTAGAACAAAAAAGGAGATTTTGCTACAAAGCCCATGGGTGCAACACACGGACTATGGCCAAACCCAAGTCCTACTGCACAGAGTAAAAATCAGCTCCCAAAAGATGTGATCTTTTGGGTTCCTATCCTAGGTTCAATGACAAAATAGTCCAGCTGAATAAAACCTGGCTTTTTTAGCTATTCAGAGATCCAGTTCCTGATGAGTCTCAGGCCTCCCTCAGCAGAACACACACAGACAAGGCTGCACTCGAGCAGTGAAACTGTGTGAGTGCCTCCCACCCTCCACACTCCCTGTTTAACCCCCACGCTGGGCTTGCTGGGCTCCCCTCTCCCGCTGTCCCTCTCAGCATGCAGAGGTGAAGGAAGTGTCCTTGCTCTGTGCCAAGGGAGCAAGGCAGGAATGAGAAGGGCAAAGCAAGCTGTGACTCCCAGCACCTCCCACCTGAGAGCAGGGGCTGCATGTTGAATATCTCAGCGTTGTACACCTCCATCTGCCCGGAGTTCTTGTCTAACACACCAATGAAGTACCTGGGGAGAACGGGGCAATTGATTAGTGAGAGGCAGAGTAGTGGAAATCATTTAAATGACATGGTCTTCTCATACCCTGGCATCTCTCCTGCCTAGCACATACAGTGCTACGATAAACCAAGTTACCTCCGAGGCATGTGTACACATAAAAACAGAAAGACTTGCTGCCCTGAGTTAATGCAGAAGTCTTAAAACAACTGAATTAGGTCAAATGTAGGTGCCAAGAGTTCTGCTATTTTCTTTTGCCTTTTTCTGCTGTGTCAGGACTTGATGGCCATAGCTTGAACAACAGCCGAATTTCCTTGTAGCTCCCAGAGCTCAGGATCTCCAGAGGTGCAGGCAAGCACCACTTTAGCCCCCAGAATTACCTTTCCACCAGTGTTCAGGGGGAAGAGCACTTAAATCTGCCCACGAACAATACTGAATTAACACCCATACCACACACATTTGTTGAACTGCATTTATCTCTCCGAACTTGAGAAGAAACACCCCCTTGGTGCTCTTTTTTCATCTGCAGGATCTCAAACTGGACACTGCTCTGTCTGAGGATGCAGCTCTCCTGGTTTACCACTCAGACAGAACCGAGGATGGTATGGGCACGGTTTGACAGACTCTGCGGAAGCAAAGCCAGTTCCTTGTACAGATTTACAGAACATCTCAGCTCAACGATGACCCCTTCAGCGCCGACCAACTCATGACAAAGGCAATTTCTTCATCATAATTTTTTAGCTCCATCCTGCTGCTACACTAATCCCAGACCTTACAGGATGTTTTTTAACTGGTCTGTGATTTTACACATCACAGCTTCCACAAGATCCTTCGAGCCCCACCAATGTCCTGTGGGCACCTCTGAGACAGGTGCAGGGGAGGGAGCAGGAGCTCTGGGTCTGAGCAGCCCCTGTGCTCCTGGCTCCTTTTCCATACCTGCACAGGGAGTTGCACTTCAGGACCTCGTTGCCGAAGTTTTGCCCCACGTAGCAGAGCCGCTCTGTCTCCGAGACCTGGGAAACCACAGAGAATTCCTTGAAGAGGGGGCTGTGAGGATCCTTCCCTGCCTCTGCTCTGCACTGCCAGGCATCACCAGTTCCATGCAGAGTGTAACCAGTACCAGCACGGAGAGTGTAACACACACAGCGCCTCTCAGTTACCACCCCTCAGTAGCTCAGTTTAAAGTGTGATTTCCAACGGTTCATTTAACCTCCAGTATTGTCAAGTGCCTGCAATTCACCAACTGAAGAGCCAGAGCCAGCACTATAGAGGAATGGCTAGCTAGCAAAGGTCATGTTCCTATGCAGCAGTTAGCTGAGAAAGAATTAAACAATAGAGTGCAGTTGGTGTGAGATGTTGCAGGGTCAGGAAGACCTTGGTGATAATGGATAATTGAGAACAGGACACTGTGATCAGAAGAATGTGAATTCAGCATAGATGAGCGATCACAGGAACGTGGGACTAGGTGGAGTTGACCTTAAATGAAATATCCAAAAATGAGCTTGCTTTTGCACTATGTATGAGCCTAATTATTGATGTTATATAAGTGGTTTTAGAGGTACCAATAAATGAGACTTGCTGATCATTCATACTGGGTGCTGCTTGTCTCCCACCGAACTCATCAAATGGCACCCAAACAGCAGGGACCTTTGGGACCCTTGGGACATTCGGGACCTTTGGAACCTCTGGGACCTTAAAAAGGAGTCGGCCAAGGGAGTGGGTGTCAGGGGACGGGTCCTCTGCAGCAAGGATGGCGGAACGCAACAGCTGTGCCATGTTCCAGGTGATCTCACAGGAGAGTCCCGGTCAAAAATGCAACACTGCCACACCCAGGTTATCTTATAGAAGAGTCCTGCCAAAACCTTGTAGGGCTGCAACAGCGCTGACGGTAAGATGGAAAGGCAAGCAGCATATGATTTATTTACCTGCTTTTTAGAAAAGAGACAGGTTAAAGATTTTGATTTGCACAAGGAGCTTCCTGAACTTCTTGCTTATGGGTATGCCCAGGGTTGTTTTCAGAATCCCCATACAGTCCATGAATTAAGTGAGTGGCAAAAATTTGGAGATAAATTGTGGGAAGCTGTTTTTAATGATGATAAAACTGCTAAAAAATTGGGAAAACTGTGGCGGACAGTTCATAATGTT